AAACATCCACGAAACAAAGAAAGGTCTGTCACAGCCAAAAAATACACTCCAGACACGCCGCTGGCACTAGAGGCACAGCATGGCCGCCTAGTAATGGCCCTGACCACTGCCGCTCGACCTGACCGGAAAAAAACGTAGCAGGAAGCTAGCGAAGTCGTAGTATATATCGTCACAAACAGAACTGCCCGGTAAAACCGTAGGCAGAGAGAGAGAAGAGGACAACAAACGAGGGGCTGTGACAAACTATATATATATATATATATCGTCACAAACAGAACTGCCCGGTAAACCGTAGGCAGAGAGGGAGAACAGGACAACAAACGATATATCGTCACAAACAGAACTGCCCGGTAAACCGTAGGCAGAGAGAGAGAAGAGGACAACAAACGAGGGGCTGTGTATATATTGTATATATATATCGTCACATGATATCAGAGCGCCAAAGCGAAAAAACAGAAAGAAAACAAGGAAAACCAAAAAGCCTTAATTCCTTTTTAATCTTCTTCCTTACAACTCCCCCTGTTCAGAACCTCCGCCCACGTGGATGTAGGTTGAGCGGCGGCTGCCCCCACCCCCGTCTGTCATATCCACCCACTTGCACACAGCCAAAAGGCAAAGAGGCAAAGAAGAGAGGAAGGGAACAGCCAAATAAAACAGGAAAGGGGGCAACAAACCAGATCCCAGATGACAAGTCCCACATGCAAGCACCGCCCTTGCCCACAGGCCAAACGACGGGACAAGACCAACCAGGATGTCAAAACATTCTTGTCTGCAAAGAAATCAAAGAAAGTACCAAAAATAACCCATCCCGGATGACGATCAAGCACCGCCCAACGCTCAAAAGGCCAAACAACGGGAAACAACCAACCAGGATGCCAAGACAATAAAAAAAAAAACGGATGACTGGTCCCACATGAAGCACCGCTACCTGCTGCAATATATTGTCACAGTGGAAATCGGAGCGCATAGGCGGAAAAAGACAGAACAAGAAAAAGAAAAAGAAGCAAGGAAGGAAAGCCCCACCTGTTCGTCACCTCTTACGTACTAGGCCAGCCACGTGGATGACAGGTTGAGCGCTGGCTGCCCCCATCCCCGTGTGTCATAAAGACCCACTTGCACGCAGCCAAAAGCCAAAGAGGTAAAGAAAAGGCGGAGGAAACCAAACTTCACAGAAGAAGAAAGCCGAAGCAAGTGACACATCCCACAGATAATCCAATTACCATCCCACAGAACATATTTTTCTTTTTTCTTTTTTCTTTTTTSTCAGGTTTCTTTTTTTGTGTTTTTCCTTCCTTGGTTTCTTTTTTTATTTATTTATTTTTTATCTTTTTACTCGGTTTCTTTCTTTATCTGTTTCTTCTACACTTCTTCTGTCACCCCCTCGGCAGATAGGACAACTACGGTGAGGATGACGGGGATGTTCACAGGGATACCCAAGGAGAGTTGCGTTAGTACAGCATTCAGCCGGACGGCTAGCACGAACCATCCCATCGAAACAATCCCGACATAGGACATGTTGCCCACATGTCAAAAAAACAGCAGGACGTTCGTCACAGTGCGGCATCATGCAGTTCTGATAGCGTCTTTGGGAACAGAAAGGACAACGTACATCTGGGTGATAGGGATGTGCACAATGAGGAAATGTTAGACACCCTTCCGCACATACGGCGGCAGTCGCAATGGATTGATAATGGTGCTGACACAGATAATGCATTCCACAACCAAGACGCACCACGTCTCTATCCCGACAAATGTCGCACGAGAGTCGCTCAACAATCCAGAACAGTGTATGATTCAACAAACCTCGCAAGAATTCATTTATGTTGACAATAACCTGAATCACCGTCCCACCATCCCACAGTTCCCACTGAGCAGCTGCACGAACGAGTGCCATATAGTGCCCGGGTTTGTGCAAAATGCATGCAGAAATATGAGGACGGGCATTAAGGTCCTCGCCTGGCGTCCCATAATGCATGAGAAGGTGGCGACCGTGAAATGCTAACTGTAAGACATTTATAGTAAAGCCTCCTGAGGTAGTATAATT